AAAACGAAAACAATTTACATGCAAATTAAATGTTATCATTTCAATCTTTTCATAGCAATTTCTCCAGCAAAATTGCATTTATATGCACAAAAGCATTCAATTACTGTAGCTGTGACTCAACTTTTCACATCTCACAGTGTTTCGATTTGGAAAGGCAGCCTCCTTGTACATTTAATAGGCAGCCATTCTGTTCCCCTAGCTCTGTTAGGGATCACTGTGAGTGTGTCAGTTGGAGGAGATGGCAGCATGTATCAGTATATAAAATCAAGCTCTTTCTTCAAAGTGACAGGCCCTGGATATTGTTGGCAAATGGATGTTGAATCCATCCAGGAACCACCAACAGCAGCCCCAGCTATGAAATATTAACTGTACTCTGGCTAAAGGGAAGGGAAAATGCTCTGCTAGATATACCACAAAATCCTGTTTGTGAGTAATCCATCTGACAGATCTTGTTTTGTGGAGAGAAAAAAAAAACAAAGAAAAAAGGAAGGGAGGATTATGTCATTTGGCTCTTTCCGTTAAGATCTGCTCTCATTTGTTGTCTAGACTAATGCAATATGAGAGCAAACATAAAGAACTGTCAAAGGAAGTTATAGGAAATACCCAATCTTTGCTGTAGTCTGCAGCTCAATAAAGAGGCCATCATGAATAGAGTGTAGCAAACAAAATCGTGCTATACCAATACAAAACACTAGAGAGCACTACATCCTATTTTTTAAAATCCATTTCCTTTGGCCAGCTAACCCTCTTCCTATCCATAAAACTTATTGCACAATGCTTCTTTCCAAGAGGAGAAAAAATCACTTCAAAGCAACTGTTAAATGCATTCCTGCATGAGATTGGTATGTCATAAACAAATGAAATTGAAAGGAGACAACATGTTCTTTGCTTTACAGTATAATCCTTGTCATAACCTAATCTCTGCTCAAACCAAGTGTTTAAACCTAGCAGCAGAGGTGACTTTGGACATTTTATTGGCCTTATGAAAATGAAAAAAATGAAAAATGGTACTGTACTTGGTAGCTTGGTAATGCATGGTCCATATTGAACATCCACCAAAACGGGTAACTACTTATTGTGCTACAGTTAAAGGTCAGCAGACTGAGCAGATAGTTAACAATATCGTAAATTAGACAGGGCATCCTCAGTGCAGGGAACAATGAAGTCTGAAAACAGACAAGACATTCTTCAAAAATGCATACAGCCTTGTGTCAGATAGCTCAACCTCAGCGATAGACTTGGTTCTTCAAACACAGTAATCATTCAAAACATACAACAAAATACACGTTGGAATAGCTGAGAGAATAAGAATAACTTTTTTGATGGTGACATTTTTCTATACAAATTATTTGGCTAAACAAAAATTTAAAAGAAAATTCTGATTTGTGTTAAAGAATGAATAAACAAGAAATGAGTGCTTTAAATCATTGATGGTTTTAAATGATTATCTTTTTGTAATGTAGAAAGATTACAAAAGCATTGTTGCCTGTTTTTATCTACAGGCAACAATGACTGTATATTATGATCATGCTCCATGTTCTTGAGCATTCTCACCTTTAAAGTTAGGATTAAAATTGAGCCAGCAGGTGTCAACATAACACTATTTTTAAAGGTGGTCTGTTTGCAGCCAAATTTTTTGCTCTAGCAATAACCCATAAAGAGATTCTGTCCAGAGGCAGGAAATCAAATTAGCACTGCTTGTCTTTGTTACAACACAAACATTCTGGAAAAATCTGCATCCTGACTTTGACTGATGTTAAAATCTAATCATAAATTAAAAAAAATTCAAAGCAATTATATCTCCCACACAATAGCAGCCCTCCTTGCCACTTCTGAACTAGACAGCAGGAAAGGTTTTTTGAAAAATTTACAAGATCGTTCTCCTCTTCGTAAACTCTCCAGATAGGCTTAGAGTCTTAACTGGGGCTACATGTTTCAGTATTAGAAAATCACAAAAAAGAACCTCCCCTTACCCAAAGGACATGTTGCTAACACCACATTTGCTCATTCACAAAGACATTACAGGTAAGATTCCACACCAACTGGTTAACCTAAAATCATTCAACTAATTTTATTTATATAGCACCGATTCACAACACATGTCATCTCAAGGCACTTTACATTTCACCAGATCGTACAGTCAGATTGATCAAAGTTTTCTATCTTAGGAAAACCAGTTGATTGCATCGACTCATTGACTTGAATGCAATCCCTCACACTAAGCATGCTTGTAGCAACAGTGGAGAGGAAAAACTCCCTTTTAACAGCAAGAATTCTCCAGCTGAACCAGGCTCAGTGTGAGTGATGTAAAATAAGAATTAAAAATACAATTATTATTTTTTTTCATACATTTTTTTTTTTTTAAACTGTAAAAGATTCCTTCAACAGCGCCTTTAAATATGGAGTGGTGTCACAACACTGTCTTTCACCCACATCATGGTTAATTTTGGCCAACATAGTATGATATCTGTCTTAATGTTAATTTCATTGGATATGCTGAACATAGAATGCTGAATTAGGTATCCCTCCATTATAGCTGTTTAAAGGAGTCATAACCTGGTAATGTATGCATAAAACCTTTTGTAACTCGCTTTAATGTTATCATGTTTAATCATTTTAAGAAAAAATAAAAATAGAGTAAACACAATACATGTGTGTATGTGTGTTTATGTGGATGTAGCATTAGCAACATTAGCAGTTTGCCATGGTTCTTTTAACACTTATTCCTGTTATTTTACTCATTAGGCAAAAACATTTAACAAGCAGCAACATTTTCCAACTGCCGACAGGTTAGAATAACCCCTTTTGGTAGAAAGCAAGGCAGGCTAATCTTAGCACCCTAGACTAACATTGTAAATCAAGGAGGAGGACCAAAATTGCTCTGTAGAGAGAGCATCCATGTGAGCTTTTCTGGTTTGAACAAATATTCCACAAGAAATAAAACCAAACCACATCACATTTCTGGTCCTGTGGGTTTTAACTGAGGCACATCAGCAACACATGTTTTAATCTGAAATGGTCAGATTCTGGTCGATGACATTTTTAACCACTATCCTATCTAGAAAGCAGTACAGGAAAAGTTCATGTCTGTGGACTGTTCTCAAAACACCACTGAATACTTTATATGGTGACTCTGCATCCAACAATCCTAGGAGCACAAGATAGATAGATAGATAGATAGATAGATAGATAGATAGATAGATAGATAGATAGATAGATAGATAGATAGATAGATAGATAGATAGATAGATAGATAGATAGATAGATAGATAGATAGATAGATAGATAGATAGATAGATAGATAGATAGATAGATAGATGAAAAAAGGTGCATGGGATATATATAGTGTGTCCACATATAACAGCTTTTTTTTTTTTTTTTAGATAGATACAGTAAATAGACAGATATACCGGTACCATGTCTATAAGGTATACCATTTATACACTGAATACTTAGATGTGATCCTCTTGCATATTAACAGCATTAATGCAACACTTTAAAGATGCGATAAGCTTGTAACTTTGCCAAAGGTGCTGAGGAATCTATACTAATGTCCTTTACCTTGGAGTTTTTGTGAGGTCATTTTTCTGACGTCCATAATAAAATAACTATTGGTACTTCCATCTATGTGGGAAGATATGGAATTCTGCTGGAAAATGTAATCCTTATCCCTATGAAGCTTAAAGTTTCTAACATTTTCCTGGCAGAAGTCTGTGCTGTCTTTGGATTCGATAAAACAGTGAACCAATGCAGCAGATGACACAGCTAACCAAATCGGTAAGTTTGGAAACTTTACACTGGACCTCAAGCATTTTGCAATCTGTGTTTCTCTACTCTTTCTCTCAAATATTTCAGCACCTTTTAAGCACAGTTCCACCACATTTTACACAACTTTACTTTAATTTGCTTGAATATAATATCCAGTAATCATTCAGCTTTTTCTTTTTAACAAAACACCTCTGGTTGCTTATCCTGTGGGTGTATGAGCTGTATGTTGAACAATTGTAAACATAACATAACATTGTCTGATTCTTTTTTTATTGGACCTATAGGACAATTGCAATGTTCTTTCTTTTTTTTTTTATAATAAAAAGTGTACATTGGTTTTTGACTGGCTACTCTGATGGACGGTTCTAGACAGGTGTTAACGGGGGCCAGTGCCCCTGTAGATCATGTCCTGGCCCCTGTATTGAAGACATAATACTTAAAAAAAATTCTAAAGTTGATATGTGCTGGAACAGACATGGTTACTGATAGGTCCTTTGGATCTATTTCATTTTTTTTCTTTAAAAAATGTCAGTTTCATGAATTAAAATAATAAGGTGACAGCTTCAGTGTCATTGAGACAGGATCCTAGTTTTCATCTGCTAAATGTTTTTTTCAAAACAAATAAACAAAACAAACTCTAATTTTTACAGCTGTATTTTTTGGTTTTTCTTGAGTTCTAACTCTGGTTTTATAGAAAACTGTAATTTTAAATAAAGCAAAAAATATGTAAAATTCCTAAATTATGAATATATATTGACCCAATATTCCAAATAATATCTTTATTTAATATTTTAGATATTTAGGTAATATAGCTAAAAAAAAAATTGAGTTGCTTTTTTGCTATGCTAAGGGATTTTTATTTTGATATTAAGGATTTTCAAGCCAAACATAAATATTTTCAGTTGGAAGACATATAAATTTAATTAAACCTAATTGAATTGAAATTTCACTTCATGCAGCTATCTTAATTTATTTGAATCCCTTGGCCTGTTTTTTTTTTGTTTCATGTTTTTCTGTGCCCCCATGAAAACACGCTGCCCCCCCCCCCCCCCCCCCCCCCCCTATTAAAAATTTTCTGGCTACCCCTCTGCTGATGGGGTCAGAATCAGAGAAAGAATAAATCATTACCAAAAAATGTATCTCGCATCTAAAGTACTCCCTCGCCTCAACTGCATGGAGACTGCGCAGAAAGCGTCGGAGAAAAAAAAAAAAAGCACAACTAAGAAAGTTCATGCAACCGCTGTGCAGGATGTCCAGTTAAAGGGAAAAAAATCTGCAGACGAGCAAAAGCAGCACAAGCAGACGGACTGAGAGCAACAACCACTGCAAAGCAGCTTTATTTTCCACACCTAAAAGAGCGTTTTGGTTGCCAAAATGGGTTCTCCGACGATACTTAGCTGTCGTCGGTTTATTTTCAAAGTTGTTTTGCTTCAGTTCATCGCCTTTCAAGCAACAAATGCTCGTCCATCTCCTATAATCAGGTTTCCCGGAGACGACTCCCCGAGAACAGACAAAGAAGTTGCTTTGGTGAGTTGGATTTTTGTTATTATTTTGTTTTTAAGTATACAATCAAAAGCATATGAAACCATCTGTTTTTATTGCCACGACGTATGCTTATGAATAAAAAAGCTATTTTGTATTAAAATAAAATAATTGCATTTATTTATTTTTTTTAATCTTGCATTTCTCTTGTAGCACTATCTGAATAAGTTTTATGGATGCCCACAAGACAGATGCAACCTTATGGTGCTTAAAGACACTTTGAAGAAAATGCAAAAGTTTTTCTCCCTGCAAGAAACTGGAGAAATAGATGTCAAAACGGTGGAGATTATGAAAAAGCCCCGCTGCGGTGTCCCAGATGTGGCCAATTATAACTTCTTCCACAGGAGACCCAAGTGGCAGAAGAAGGACATTACCTACAGGTCAGATGCATTCAAGTTTTGTTAACTGCAAACACACCTATAAGCCATGTTGGGTTCATTTGGTTGTTCTATTGTCTTCCTGTATGTTATTGTGTAAAAAAAAAAAAAAAAGACAACAACAGCAAAACAAAAACATTTAGATGAATCAAAGCCTTTCAAATGGTACTTTCCCCCAACTGAACCTTTAGAAGCTCCCTTTAGCTTGGTTTGCTTTTATTTTGTGCTTCCAGATACAGAACATGTTGAGCAGGGGCGTAGCTAGATGGGAGGCCAGGGGTGGCCATGACCACCCCTTAGCCAATCAATGGCCACCATTTATTTCTCTCTAATACAGATGGTGGCAACTAGTGCTGGATGATCTGGAAAAAAATCATATATCACAATATGGACTATTTTTTAACACAATAATCTCTGAAAAATACGACATTCCAATATAATTGCTTACTTTTTCGACTTCATTTTGAAGCGAAATTTATAGAACTGTCACCAATTAGAAAAATAAATTGTAGTGCAGCAATATATATGCATAAAATGAGGCGGAGGTACGTCTACCTTCACAATTTTTCAAAATCCTACAGGTATTTAAATTTAATTACCAAAAAGTGCACTAATGTTTAGTTTCTTAAGTTTCTGAGTAGAAAAGCACACATTTTTGAACGAAAGATAGTTACAAAAATAAATAGTTTTTCAAGTTTCTAAAAACTGTAACCATGTAGTGCAAAGTTTGCATAACAAAATAGCAAAAAAAAATTTGCAAAATTAAATAAATCAGGGTTGAATTTAACTAAACAGTTTTTTCATTATCGATGTAGAAATGTTGTTTCTGTCAAACTTAAAGGTCAAATTTCACAACTTGCTTTACATCGCACTTTTTGGATCTTTATGTATTCTTTTTCGTGGTTCTTCTTTAGGTGATGTATTGCCGTCGGGTAAGGGAACAATCTTGTAGCATAGTTTGCAAATTACCGTTGTCTGCTCCGTGTTGGACTTCCTAAATCCAAAATGTAACCAAATCACAGACGTGCCCTCTCTTTTTGGTAAAAGTGCTTCATCTTGTGTTGCCCGCATAGCTGTCTCTGTTTGTTGTGACCACAGATTCAATACTTCAGCCTCCTGCGTCTCTATCTCTCATGAGTTAAAAGCAAAAGCCATAGGAAGCGTCATGTTGAAAAACCACAGGACGGCGCTTCTTTGTGGATTAAAAAAAATCATGTTTATCACTTATAAGCTGTGTGTAGGCTACGTGGCTACACTAATATGATCGCCGTAGTCTACCATGGGAAATATTTGTTTGAATCTGAGATAAAATTGTGTTAGAAACGATAGAATATAAGTAGCTCTATAGACAATTTTCTGTCATTCGTATATTTCACTGTTGCCTTAGTGGCTACAGTGGAATATTCAAAACATTTTAATTTTTCATATATTAACAATTATATGACAACAAAAACACCATGGTTAATTATGCACATCTATATACTAACATTAAAGATGATAAGTACAGAATTCAAGCAGAACTAGATTTTGTGTTTTATGGAGTATAGAGAAAATGATGCGTCTGCAAGTCGTCTATGAGTCTTCAGTGAAATCATAGATAAATAACTATTTTAGATAATCAATTTATGTAGATATTAGTACTTGTAAATATAAATTTTATGCAGAATGATTACTGATAAAAGTAGGTAAGTAATGACAATGGAAAAGATGTTCGCCCAAAACTCAAACCTGAAAGAATTTTATCCACTATACCTCTTATCTAGAAAGCACAGATGTTTGAATATATGCGTCTATTTGTTAGCAAAGGCTGTGGGAAAGTATAGTTTGTCTTTATTTAGAAAATATGGATGTTTTGCTCGTTAAGTTTCCTGTTGGAACAGTGTAGATTGACCGTGAGGTTTTGGTGCCTATCTACTTTCGGCAACCCCTCAGTGTACATTGGTTATTGCCTGGCCACCCTCATAAAAATTTTCTGTCTACGCCTCTGATGTTAAAAGCTTTGCTCTGATCTTGTTTATGTTAATATAATGGACATAGTTTATTTATAAAAGCGGTTATATGTGTCATGGTCTTTACAGGCCAACTGTTCTGTTGTTTGTGCAGGAAACCCCAGGGTAGAAACAATAACACAGGGTCCTAACATTATTATCAACAAAAGGACATGGTCAGTATCCTCAGTTTGTACAAAGGTCATTCAGAGATGACTCATACTGGCCAATGTTACCATTCAAGTGAAGACAGGAGAGCTATGTGATTCTTTCAAATATGTATTTTGTTTTTTTATGGAACTTGTCTGCTTTTGTAATATCGTTTTATACTCCAAGTTGTCATCTCTTTGTAGAATCCTGGGCTACACTCCTGATCTGGATGAGGAAACCATAAATGATGCTTTCTACAGAGCCTTCAAAGTGTGGAGTGATGTCACACCACTTTCTTTTACTCGCATTATGGATGGAGAGGCTGACATCATGGTTAATTTTGGGCGCAATGGTATGATATGTGTTCGAATGTGAATTTCATATAACTTATTCACGATGCTGGACAGGTGATCCATCCTTGGTAGTTTAAATCCCTTTAAATTTGTTTGTTTCTACAAAGAAAAGAAAGCCATCTCATTTGGATCTGTTTTCATACTAATTTTTTGTTGTTATGGTACGCATGAGATTTTGACTTGTGTGTACGCTTCTATGTGGATGTAGCATTAGCAACATTAGCAGTTTGACATTGTTTTCCTTGCCTTTTACACAATAGTTATAAAGTTACAGAAACAGTCACTTATGGCACAAATTACATAAATCAGGGAAGAGGACCAACTTTGTTTTTTTTTGTTTTTTTTCTTTGAGAGCAGGCTCTTGTGGGCTTCTGTATTATATATATGAAAAATAGAATTTCACATTTCTGTTTACCTGACAGGTTTTAACTGAAGCCCTTCACCAACACACTGTTTTACCTAAAACTGTCTAATTTCTGGGTGATGACACCTTTCACCACCTTTCTATCTTGAAAACAGTTGAGCAAAAGTTCATGTCTGTTGACTGTTTGCAATAGACCACTGACAGACATGTTTTTATGGTGACTGCATCAAACAATCATATGTTTAAGAAGCGAACAATAGAAAAGTGGTAACTGTGGTCTCTCTAAGTAAATATCAAGGGCTTATTTTAGCTGGAATGACCTCTGCTGTGTTGTAATATCAACCCTGTCTCGCCATAGCCAACTACTTTGAGAAAGAATCTAGTAATTACAGTGAAAGAAAAACAAATTTAATTTGAAGGACTTAGAATTGCTGTTATGGTGACTATGATAATGTTAGTGTTAGGAAAATAAGTTGTTTTTGAATTGTGTAATCTTTATTGTGTTTATTATGTAATTGTGTTGTCAACAGAACATGGAGACGGTTATCCATTTGATGGGAAAGATGGCCTGTTGGCTCATGCCTTTGCACCAGGACCAGGGATTGGGGGAGATTCCCATTTCGATGATGATGAGCAATGGACTTTAGGAGAGGGCCAAGGTAATACAGCCATCATTAATTCACACAAAACAGTAATACTTGCTTTGTGTCTTCTTAACTTAAAGTTAGTTAATGATATACAGTATGCTTCTGCAGTGGAAATAAGCCTTTGGTTTAGATTTGCTCAATTTGCTTATGATTAATGGGTTTCTCCATCAACAATAAAGATGAAGACCACATTTACTGCAATCATATTAATGTTGAAGATTTTCCAGCTATAGTATATTAGGTGAGATTTTGAACCTGATCATTTTGATACAGTTTTAAGTTATTTTCTTTTAATCAATTCAATCTTTGTCTGAGTTAACTGGCACTTTATACGAGAAGTTGAAGCCATCTGGAAGACAATTAGATGAAATAAAATCTCCATTGAAAACATTTTGGAATCACACTCAGTGACCTAGATAGATTTGCTCCAGCATTCAGCACTACATTTATATAGTCTTGATCCTTAAGTAAAATAAAACATCTTTTGTAAATGCCAATTTCTTTCATATTATCGTATTATATTCACCTTTAATGTACTGGTAACAATTCTGCATTTGTTTCTTTTAAAAAGCAGCTTGATTTAAGATATGTGATTCAAAATCGATGGCCTCTCTTTTACTTAGCAAATCATTTATGTTGTGTAAATAAGCTATTTAATTAAGTACCTTTTTTTCCCCCTTACAGTGGTGAAAGTGAAGTTTGGCAATGCTGAAGGAGAGTTCTGTAAGTTCCCTTTTCTGTTCATGGGCACCGAGTACAACACCTGTACATCTCAGGGACGAGATGATGGATTCCTGTGGTGCTCCACCACCTACAACTTTGATGAAGATGGCAAATATGGCTTCTGCCCTCACGAGTGTAAGCTTGTCACATACTTCTCAAATTGTGAACTTGTAAAGGCTTGGCAGTGTCTCTTTCCAATTCTCTAAGAAACCATTACTTGGCAAAAACTGGGATATATTCCCTAGTTGCATTTCAAACTTTTAAAGATTATTAAAACAATGATTTCCACTCTCAAAACTCTTCTGTGGTTTTGGGCGGGAAGAAAGTAGGTTGAACTGTATGCCAAGAAAGCATGTTACTGTCTTGCTTGGGAGTGAATTATGAAACATTTCTTTTCCAAGTTTTTGCCCCACTTTAGAACACCCTGCTTTACTAATCATTTTCTTTATCTCTAGTGTTCATGGTATATGCATACAAGGCTCAAGCAACTACCAAATTACACATGTACTATGTTGTTTTAGAGGATGTGAACATGTTTGAGCATCATTTTCAATAGAGCTGCTAATTCTGTGTTTACTAATATCGATATGGAAAAGGTTGGTTGGTGTTTTGTCGTTTCATTTCTCTGGGTACTTAAATCATTTCTCATAACATGTTATACTGAAGTTTCCATTTTGTAGTCAGAAATGATTACCGATCCAGACATCTAAAGCTTAAAATTTTCCTTTGTTTTTGTTTTTTACAGTACTTTTTACCCTTGGTGGTAACGGAGACGGCGCGCCTTGTAAATTCCCCTTCAACTTTCAGGGGGAAAGCTATGACAGCTGCACCACCGAGGGTCGGGATGATGGATATCGCTGGTGTGCCACCACAGACGACTATGACCGAGACAAGTCCTACGGCTTCTGCCCTGAAACGGGTAGGCCTTGTTTTCTGCTCCCTGATATACAAACCACACATCATCACACTACTCAGTAATATGGAAAGTTATTAGGTCTTTAAGGAAGTTTCTGACCATCACATTGCTTTGCTTACTGTTTTAAAGGGTCACCATTTTTGTTTGTCTCAGTGGAAAAAGCTACTTTTGTGTTTATCTTTGTGGGAATTGTGTAATGCCTTTCCATGGTTGCTATCCAGAAAGCAAGCTTCTCAGCCTTGCTTGTGGTTAGCTTAATCACAGTTAAACTATTTTCATCTGCTCTGCCTTAGTTTCATTCGGTTCTTAAAATCTTCTTAGGTTTAAATAGAAAAGATGGTACGCCGTTGCACGCTGATAATATATATTTTTTTCTGTTTTGTTTTACTAACACAGCTTTAACAAAGGAACAATAATTAGAATACACAGAAACAGTGATGCCAAGCTGTGATAATCCCTAAAAAAAATATATGTTTTTGTTTTGCTTCTGAATCACCTCCTGGTACGAATTACCTGATGACAGTTGTGTTGTGGTGTTTGTTTTACACTTGTTTACACATATTTTACAGTCCATCTAAACACAATTTGGCATTTGAATCAGTTTATAAGACTCTAAGGTTTATTCCACATAAACCATTAAAAACATTTTCTGTGGTTTACAGCAATGTCTACAGTGGGGGGAAATGCAGAGGGAAGCCCCTGCGTCTTTCCTTTCACCTTTCTTGGAGACAGCTATGATTCCTGCACTACCTCTGGACGCAGTGATGGGAAGAGATGGTGTGCGACCACTAAGAATTATGACGATGACCGAAAATGGGGCTTCTGTCCTGACCAAGGTGCGGCAGTTGATTTGGCAAATTTGGCAATTTGCCAAATCAAATTTACAATCATATAAAGACCACATTGAACAAAGAATTGTTATATGTATGTATTATTTTACACCAGCTTCAAGTTTACCTGTAACGTGGTGCACAATCACAACGTACCGCTTAAACTTAGACTTATATAAGATGATTGGAATTGTAGATATAAATTTGTCCTATTTATTATGAAAGCATAAAAGATGGCTCAGTATCTCTTTTGACTGTACTTATTTTCAGGCTATAGCTTGTTCCTGGTGGCCGCCCATGAATTTGGTCACGCCCTTGGTTTGGAGCATTCTCAGGACCCAGGAGCTCTGATGGCTCCCATCTATACTTTTACTAAAGACTTCAGACTTTCTCATGACGATATCCAAGGCATCCAAGAGCTCTATGGTGAGAAGACATTTTAAAAATTTTCCTCAAAAAAAAAAAAAAAAACTTATTAAACTGAGGAACAGAGTAGGGGGTTGGTTCAATTTCCTTTTTGTATATGACGACAGGTGTGCCCACCGACAAGCCTTTGCCGCCAACCCAGGGTCCGGTAACTCCAATGGACATTTGTAAAGATCCTGTTGTTTTTGATGCTGTTGCACAAATCAGAGGAGAAACCTTTTTCTTCAAAGACAGGTAATACTTTTAAGTGTTATATGCAGTTTTAGGAAAGCTACTGCATGTGTTGATATTAAGACCAAATAAGGAAGCAGTCGAGCTGCTCATTGTTGCTTTAATACATCATAGAAATATTAATGCCCAATTGATGATTTACTAAATCTAAATTAATGTATAAGACTAATCAGTTACATAGTATGAATGGCTGCTGAAATGCAGCGTTGCTTATGGAAATTGACTCAGACACCGAGATCAGTGGCAACACACCATAAGAAACCAAGAAACATTTGGGCAGTTTTCAACAAATGATGGGTGCTTAGATCTTGACTGGCCAACCAGACTGACCTCCAAGAAGCATAAGTCAGTCTGGAAGGCTCAATACTCTCCTGTCTAAAAGAGACCTGACCAATCTGAAACCATAACAGTCAAGATTGCAGCTGTGACTGAACAATGTTTTATTGATGCCCTTGATGATGTCCCAAGGGAGCTGTTTATATAGGTAAAATGTTGAGAATTATCAACTGTAGGACATTATAGTTTTCAATTACATCCGTAGTTATCTGATTGTATCTTTTTATTTTGATTCTCTTAGTCCTCCCTTTAAAAAACGGGCTCTACGCCCTCCTTTCCAGACTAATTTGCACACCATCAATTAGTCTGTCTGGCCAGGCTAGCCTAGATCTGCCCCAGTAATGAAAGGATGTGCAGTTTGCCCTCCTTTGCTTAAAAGATAGACGTTTTCCACTTAAAATAACTTTAATATTTACAACTTTCAAACCTCATAAGGTATTACACCATTAAAGAAAAGACCTGTGCAGTTGCATCATGAGAGGTAATATTCTCTTCAACAAGCAAGGGGCACTTTTTCAACACATGGAAATGTCAAATCTATATTGATTGCACCAACATAGCAACAAAATAAATCTTGTTTAGGGTGCAAATTGGTGACTAGTAGATTTTGTCCTCTTGTGCTCCATTTCTACTGCAATTCTGGGGGAATTGGGGATATGTTTCATGTCAAAAACTATCATTGGTCGCAGTTAAAATAGTAATACCTAACTGAATTTCCATAGACGTTAGGAAGAAACAATGCTGAAATGAAAGAGATGGCCTAGGGCTATAATCTTTTTTGTAATTAAAACACAATAGATCTTTGAGCTTAGGTTTGTAAAAATCTATTAACAATCAGATAGATGCGATATATTGTTTTCCAGATTTCTATTGGGCTGTAACCCTCTGGTTTAAATAAATGTCAAAATTAGCATGAAAAGAAAAATGAGCTACTTAATGTGCATTCAGAAACAAAATAGGCATTACTCAAGTCTATAGTCCTGACACTTCCAGCATATTCTGTTCAACAGATGCATTCAAAGGGTCTTGAAACTCACTAACAAGGTCTTTACATTTTATTGCTGGAAAGTGAATATAAAGGTTATTTTTTATCCTCTTGAATTTAATTGGAATTGGTTGGAAACACAAAGGTAACTCCACTGTTTATCAGTCAACATTTGGATAATAAGTAAAAGGAAAAAAAAAAGATTTCGCTAGCTTAGGTTCCCGAACTTGAAATCATTTGTCTGCTCTTTCTGTGAGTTTTATGTGCACATTCAAAGTGTGCCCCAGAGCAGCACAACGGTGAAAAGAGTGCTCCTTGGACCATGAAACTTTGGCTCAGTTGTTTGAAATCAAGCTGAGCTGAAACTTAAATCCCTTCAAAGCTTCTGACTGTGGAAGAATTAGGGAGGAGAAAGAAAGCAAACTGTTTTTACAGTATATGAGAGTTACCTCCTTTCTTGCTTCATCTAGCCCTTCAAAGGAATTTTTTTTATTGGTATTAATTTAAATAAAAGGACAGTTTATTGCTTACTTCCAATTTTAACCCTAAATATTTTATGTGTTGAGTTTATTTTTTGTTTTTTTCTTTTTTATTGCAACCATGTAGCAGAAGAATATAAGGTGAGATTAATGTGAGTGGTAGAAAACATTGAGACAAAAGTGTCCATGAATTCCTCAAATAATGAGCTGCCTGAATGTTATACTACTGTTTTTTATTGCATAGGGCTTTTACAAGTAAAATTTTATAGCTTCAAAAAGACTCGTACTGCCATGCCTGCAATGCTAAAGTTTTTGTTGACTCATTGTAAAAGTGGAGCCTCTCCTCAAGCTGAATCAGCACATGTATGAGGTCCCACAGATCTTAACACGGTGCAGTGAGTAATACTCCTAGCACTCTACCAGCTTAGCATAAACTTGTCTGTCTGTCTGTCTAGAGCCTTAAGGAAAACACAATTTTAAAACCACATAGTAACGGCTTGAGAAGCCTACTGATTAAGCACATTGCCTCTAACATCTTGCCATACATCTAGCTAAATGTGTGTATACATGATTTTATCAGTGCTATTTAATTTATTATTTCTACTATTAATTTAAGTGTTGATGAGGCGATATTAAGTTCATGTAATTTTGCATTAAAATCATGCAGCAAGACATACCATGTTGTTCTGAGTTATTATGAATCTAGCAGGCTTATTTTTAACACAAATATCCTTTATTTAGTAGCACTACAACAGCACTCTGATTAAAAGCTTGTAAAACGCCCTTGAAATTATTACATTAATTCTTGGTATCAACGTTTTGGTCTACAAAAAATACAAGAAAATGTCAACATCATCAACAATTTAATCACTGACTGATAAACAGGACTTAACAACTTAACAACTCTATCAACAAGAACAAGAAGCAGGCTTAAAAAACTAACTTTAAAAAAAAATATATATATATAATATTATAATAATTAAAAAAAGAACTCTTTTACAAAAAATTACAAATGCATTACTTCAAAAGCTTTGCACAAACGTCACCACAGTGATAATCGTACTGTACTGAAAGGAATCTGATAACTGTAATTGTTAGCTGCAGGAACCATGGCATTCTTCTCTGTCTGGTAAATGCATAGTTATTATTAGAAAAAGTATGAAGCACTCATAAGATTGGTACATGTTTGCAAAATTAACCCATTGACTTATAACAAGGTTTAACCAAATATTATGTTTTTTTTCATCGTAGTACTTAGAAGCTAACCTGGCATAAGCCAGATTTATAAGTGTAATTCATTCGAATTTTTACATGGTATTGATCTGGAAAGCCTCATGTAGAAAGGGTTTGCAAAAGAAGGATACACTGATTTAGTTAAAGAACCCCTTTTCATATATATATATATATATATACTCTTATCACCCAGTAAAACCAAGCGGCCATAATTCTGAGACACCACATTTACAACACATGCACTACTTGCAATGGACTTTATTCACTACTCAGCTATGGCAACACAGATCCAATAATCTTATTCTGTCTTGTGCCTTTTATGCTAAACTTGCCTACAACTTCATTTTTGGTGCTATTTGTGTGATCAATGGCACAAAATGGGTCCGTCAGTCACATTATATTGTGATGGTTTAAGGACGAATTTATACAGCAGCTGTGATGAAAACAAGAGCTGCTGTTTCCAGCCAGGTTGTAAGGTTCTGCTGAATATTCCTCCTTCCCCCTTGGACCGGCCAAAGATCAATAATGTGTAGGACTAACTCTGAGTACTAAATATAATTAATCTGTAGAGATCTATATTTTACTTTTTACTGATAATAAAGGTTTTCATGAATTCCAACACTTTACATGTGCACCAGTTTCTGTCAGTTTGAGACCTCAAGGTTTGACTGAACACAATGAGTTACCATACATCTCCATAAGTATGTCTATTTTATATATAGTTAATTTATTGGTTTTAAAACATGACCAGATTACAAATAGAAAATGTTTGTCTTTGACAGCATCACAGTTAACTATCAGGCTTCACTGATAGAGAGCTTTTGTAACACCATTATAGCATCAGTGTTATGCAAAAAAGATAATAAAATCAGTCTAACTGTTGCATAATATGCCAAAAGTAATAACGTTACAATGATATAAATGTAGTAAAAGGATGCTGATTCCCGAGATGGGGTTGTGCCCTGAATTTGGGTCCTTGATTAAACAGTATGGGGTTTTAAGATGACCAGATAAAATAAACCAAAGATTAAATATTTATTTTAAAGTGCCTAAAGATACAAAAGTGTTATTTAAAGGAACTAGGGGTAGGAATAGTCAACATATACAAGTGCATGTCCAGCTTTTTACACTAATGGGTGATTAAGCGTTAAAAACCAAAAACATCACCCACCTATCTCCCCACTGTCTTGATGAGCGGGTGTGCTGCCTAATACGCTGCAATTCGTGGACCAAATTTCCCGCTATGGATGTCACATCAATTGACACTGCATGCACCCCCCTCAGCAGCTTTAATAGACGATTGTGGTTCTTTCAGTATTAGTAGCAATAAAAGAAGAAGCGGTTGTTTTAAAGACTTCGTTGCCTGACATGGTGCTTGTTGATGTCATAAAATTTGCGTAGTCTTGTTGTAAACCATGCCGTGGTAAACAGCGTTAAAGCATCACCAGTGCAGAGTTTCTGCATGCTGCTGTGCCGGCTTGGCTGGAGGCTGCAGTTACCCAAAGTGCCAGTCATGTCACTCATGAGTCTCATTTCCTAATCCTACCTCTAGTTCCTTTCAAAATAGACGAAACCAACTACTTTGGTTACTGATAGTAATATTATTAAAGTTTTCAGAAACGTTTGTATGCAGAAGCAATGATTTGGGCCGTTAGTTTGTTATGGCAACATTTTATGTTTTAGAAGCTGGAAAGTTTCAGAACTTCTACTGTGAAGAACTCTCCCTGAGTTGGTTTCTTCAGGAAGAAAATGTAAAGTTAGATCAGGAAGACATCTGCTTTTTACTTGTTCTCTTAAATAATTATCAAGATGATTTTATGCTATTGACATCTATTTTCCTATTTGAAAAATAGGTCAGTGGAAAATAGTTCAGGGATCTACTGCTGTTATTTTGCAGCTGCTTATTGAAAATCCAGGCAGGATGGGTCTTGTTCTGCTGGCGTCTGCAGCCTTGGTTCTAATGAGAACCAGATGCTCATGAATCAGGCCATTGTGGCTGGCTGGCCCAGTGAAGCACTTGTACTAAACTTTAGAACTCACACCCACAGGCTCTTCCCCCAACTTCTGATAAATCCCTTTCTGAGTTGGTTTTCCTATCAGACTCATTGCTTTACACAACTTGTCTGTTGTACGATCACTCACTATCTGCTTCTCTTTCTTTCAGGTTCCTGTTCAGGTCAGTCAACTTCAGAAGCAAACCCACTGGCCCTATGCTGGTGGCCACCTACTGGCCTGACCTGCCTGCGAAGATAGATGCTGCCTATGAAAACCCAGTGGAGGAGAAAACAGTCTTCTTCTCAGGTTTGCAGGAAATAAAAAAAAACTTTGAAAATAACCAACCCGTGCCCCTCTGGGTATTAATCCCTGATCCTTAAGGGCAATTCTCCTTTATGATGCATTATATAAAGTGTTATTCTTACTACTTTACCATCACTTCTCACTTGATCATCCACTTCTGAAGCCAAGGACGTTTAGGAATTTTGGCTCAGCATTAGTTCTTTGTGCGTACTTTAAGATGGTTCACCATAAGCATTAGTGGTTTCTCAAACATTCTAAGTATTACATTTATATAAAAATATCCTTCAATATTGGGTTACTTAGTATTTTACATTGCCTTGAAGGCTTTAAGTTTGTTTGGAAAACTTTCTGTTAATATTTTTCAGAAAATATGTCTGGATTAAGACTAAATCCGCGAGTAATAGGTCCTGCTTATAAGACAAAAATACTCTTTAAAAGTTATCTTCTGTACACGAAACTCAATGAAGGGCTCTATATGACACGTATTCTTCCCCTGGATGCTCTCCTTCGATCTCAGGTGATGAGATGTGGATTTACAGAGCCGATGAGCTGGAAAGAGGTTACCCGAAAAGGCTCTCCAGCCTCGGCCTCCCATCAGACGTCCAGCAGATCGATGCTGCCTTCAACTTTAGGAAGAACAGGAAGACTTACTTGTTTTCTGGGGACAAATTCTGGAGGTAAGACTGTGGATATTTTATTAAACATTTGCAAAGTTGTAACCAACCTCCCACCCGCCTGAGATTATACAGTTGATGTCAAATCTGTTGAAAGCATGACTGGTGCTCCATCTGGGTTAAGTTAGTGTTTGGTAAACCCCGAACTACACCATGAGCCCTTCCACATCTGTTAGTGCTTAAACACCATGGGAATTTGGATTGTTGACTCAGAGTTTTATCTGCAGTCTTCAGGGAAAATAATGCTCCTCCAAATGAAAAGATGTGTGTAAATAGATGTGTTTTCATTTCTCATTGTTACTTTTTTTTTACAGATATGATGAAAATACCAAGACGATGGATCCTGGCTTCCCTAAATTTATCGCTGACTCCTGGAATGGCATTCCCGATGCCATTGACTCTGCTTTTAGTCTCAGTGGAATTGGTAATTTTTAAGTCATATTGAATGAATGCAAATCTCTGGCATCTCTGGTTTTGTGCTCTGGCAGAATATTGAACACACCCATCATTAATGAAAACCAATTTTTGAAATCACTCCAACAGGCATTCTCTTAAAAAATTAAAAAATAAGAACTTGGAGCCCACAGCCAAGTGAGAAACCCTCCAAATGCTTTCTGAGTTTAGGATTTTAGCATCCATGTTACTGTTCTGACTAGGTTGAGCAGTTTTTAGTGGGCCTTCCTTTCCTACTAATTAGCTTTTCACATAAAGTCCTGCTGCAGCATACAGGTCACATCAAAATAGGTCTACAAAAATAATATCAATTTTGTGGGATTTGAATACCAAATATATTGTACTACACATACAGAAAACATTTTTAAGAAGTTTTATAGGATTTTTTTCTTTACTGCAACCAGTGATATAAACTATTGTATTCTGCAGTTTTAAAAGAGCTAAGTAGAAGTTGTGCTAGCTTAGCAATTAGACAGGCATTCAGCCATCAGAAGACTGCAGGAAAAATCTCATCAGAAAGTTTGGAATTGTGTCTCTTAATGCAACCTGACTCCTAATACACCAGAGGCTGTGAATCTCAACCACAGTTACAGTGCTGCTAGTTCTCACTATTCTGCAGTGAGATCCAAGTTTTTTTTTCCATTTGTCAAACTCCCCCTCTGCTTATATAAATAAGGAAAAAGCGTTCTCCAAATAAGAAACCTTCTGGAGTCAAAACAAAACATATTTTTCCTCTATGTGAAACTGGTCATAACAAACTTTTTTTCTGCCTTTTTGTTTTTTTTTTTCATTTGTAAATCTAAAGTACTGCTTCAATCAGAGTGCAGCCACTAGTATGTTTTTTCAATGATTAGACATTGTTCCTTATATTTATATGACTATACCTCATCTTAGGAGCTAGTTTATTCTTTAAGGACATTTAAGAGAAATTATCAATAATTTATTTATTTTACAATCAAATAATTTAAGCATTCAGCTGTTTAAAATTAAGTAGCTAAATCATCTTTTTCTAACCTTTCCCTGCATTTTTGGTGCTATCTCTTTTCCATTTACTGTAATATGTACCATGGGAATAACAGTTCAGTAAAAAAATATTCAGTAGGCATTTTTTATGAGAACTTCTGCTGTCTTTCATAACAGCATTGAAAAGATTGAATAAAAGAAAGGTACAGTCCCATGATCTCACACATTACACCACATGATACATATATAGAACCTTACCCACATGTAGACTAACTCCTAAATAAAAAACAAAAACAAAAAGACCAATCACTGTTCTCAACTGTTCTCTCATCTGTACATACAGTACCTTGATATTGTTAAGAATTATGCCATCTGAAACAATGGTTTAATATGCCTATCTGCCTTTTTTATATTGAACCTTACCTTATCTCATTTAAAGCTCCGTTCAGATATCAGAAAACCTGTTTTAAAGGAAATGGCTGCAGAAAACTCCAAGAATGCAACTAGAGCAAGACTGTTAGGCCTGCAGAAAAGCTATGATCTGTTTACCCTTATGGAAGACAGAGCAGCTGCTTTATGTTGTTCACTCTGTAATTAAGTGCTAGTGAACAATACATAATGGTCCATGGCCACATTGCCTTCAGGATGTTCCAGTAAAACCAGCTGAAACCAGATATTTGAATACAGTGTATACTAATGCCAATAACCATTTACTGACATTGAATTAGACTAAGCGTTTCTTGTTTTTGATTAGTTAGGAAAAACTAAACCTATGTCTGTTGTGTCAAAACAATAAGATAATTATCTGAGACTATTCAAAACTGTCTTTGAATTCTAAAGTTAACTTCAATGGGCTTTGCTTTATGACGTCAGCCAAACTATTTGAACATTCCTCAACACAAGCCTCCTACGCTGCTGTCTTCTTTACAGAACTGGCACAGTTTTGTAGGATAGGATCTATTAAGCTACACTAACAAAATCTTAATGAGGCTGCCACTCTGTGATGTTAATTCTGTTGCTCTTAAGCCACCATTTGTTTTGAAGTCCACAGCTATTTCCAATTAAGCCAGATTTTTACCCAACTTTTAATTAATTAAACATAATTTGTGAGGTTAATCAGTCCCTCTTGCAGTAAAACCCCACAGTATGATGCTGCCATCTCCCTACTTTTTATTATGCTAATATTTTTGTGTCTTTGCTTGATCAGATGAACATTGCATATCCAAGGATCAGAAACCTTTACCCTAGGATCCATTAGACTTATCAAGCTTCACAGTTTTATCGCTGATATTTTCATCAAATCCATTTGATATTTTCACTATGTCACAAACAAATGCAGCTTGTTTCAGGTATTTTCTTAAATTAATTCTCCAGGTGTCACTGTTATTTAGACAGATGTTTTAAATTAACAGAATCAGACGCCATGACGTCATAACCTGGTCATTTGCAAGTGATTTAAAATGCATTATAATCTTAGTGTAAATCATTTTGGAATTTAGCTTGCAAAGGTGATTTTAGTAAACTTACGTAATCAGGAAAATGTTAGAATGAGCAAGAGTGGAATCTGCTGGTTTCTAAAGTATTTCTTAAATATCCGATATGAACGCTTCATAGAGGTGAATTACAAGGCTGTTACTTACAGTTAGCCACGTGTTCATGAGGTTTTAGTGGCTATGCAAATCTTTGCCCAGGAGTTTTCCATCACTGCTCTACTAACATTCATTCAAGCATCACACACTTTTATATAAAGCAAGCCTGTTACCATCTACAGAGGTGCCTCTGTGTACAACTTAATCAACATATTCTACAGTCTCAAATTTTTCAGCAGAGATTGATTGCTTGTCTGAAATTGTGATGTAAATTGTTATACTCTTCATAATTTTGAAAAGTTGTGTTTTTTTTTTTCATTATTACCTCTTATTTCCCATTTTAGCAAAAGCTGTTTAAAAGAAAAACTTAATATTTAAACCCCGAAACTTAGTGAATGCTATGCTCCTATCTTCACAGATTACAGCTATTTCTTCAAAGGAAACCACTATTTCAAACTAGAGGACAGCAGTTTGAAGATCGTTAAGTTGGGAGAAATCACAAAGGACTGGCTTGGCTGCTGAACATTGACCCTAAATGTTTCAGGCTGCAGGTGATGATGGTCTTGCTAGGTCATCAATGTTTATCGCACACAATTTGAGGTTGCTGCAGTGCACACTGTTATTTTTTTTTTTAATCCTGGCAACTCTGTTCGCTTCTGTTGGACACATGTACCTCCAGCCTGTATAACCAGTCTCAGCCTGAGTAGAATGGCAATTCAAGACCTTCTATACGGGCTAAATGTATGCAACTGGTAATTTGCTTTGTTTCTGTGTGATTTTTAATTTTACAACTGCAATGCAATTTAAAAAATATATAAATATGAATCCCTGTTTTATCATATTTTTAAGGAACAGACATCAGGTATGTCAACAATGCATTGCAGTATTATACTGTGCCAAGAAATATTGAGTTTTTTTTTTTTGGAAAATCCTAAAAATTGTTTTACAGCATATGGAAAAAGCATATTGGTTTGGGGTTACTTCTGTATCAGGTGTAAAAAGCACATCTATATTAAAATGTATCAGTTGTATGAAATGTTCTCCTTGTGCAGAAAATGAACATGCACAATGTGACCGAGAATGGTGCTTTCAGAATTTGCTTTTTGCATATAGACCTACATGTATAGTGGGCATTTTATATTTTGTGGCTTTGTGTGATGGGAGTACTTAGTACCGTCGGGATGTTAGAAAGTAGCATTTAAAGGTTTGCTATTCTTTTTTGGTTAGCACTTTTTATAGGATATAGAAGGGAATTTAACAACAAGGAGATCAGACATTCCTGAAATCTCTGTTGCATTACTCTTCAATAAATGTGCAGACAGATTTACAAGGCAAATAAGGCACAGGTTGCCTTTAGAGGCTATATAGGTTTGCTCCATGATGGAACAATAACAAGAATACTGCAGTAGTTTTGTTTACTTGTGTTTTTATATTAAGATTCTTTTCTAGGTTTTAACAATATAGTCATTGTGTCCTGTATTTTTGTCTAAAGCTTGTGCACTTTGTCACTGTCATCAATAAAAAAGGTTGTTTTAACTATATGGTTTTCAAAAAAACTGACACGTATCATGAAAAACTATTACCTTTAAGCTTGCTATCCAGCAACAATTTAACTTCTCTAGAGGAATGCTTATGCTCAGAGGTATTGCTCTGTTAAGGATTCTAAAGTTTAAAAAAATACTGTTAATGACAACGTGGTTAGACAAAACACCATGTAGATTTTCTATGGATAATAACCTGTAAAGATGACCATGAGACAAATAGGTAGGTATTTTAGTAGTGGTTACTTACTCATTATTTGTGCTTTTATTTCATCTAACAAAAGCAGTTAATGTTTGCAAACTGAAGTCTGATAAGCAGATTTACCAAATAATTGGATATTGCTTTGCAATTTGTACTTCGAAGCAAGAGTCAAGTTAGAAGCACATGGAGGAAAATGCTGATTAGAGCAATTCTAATAATTACGTTCTGAGAAGAGACGGAGGCATTAAGGGGGAGGGGACATTCAAGTTGAAAAACAATGCTTCCAAGTGGTCATTATTTCCACATAAAGTTGAAGAATGTGTGGAAAAAGTAATGGACTCCAACACTAATAGAAATTCCCATGCATTTTATGTTTCTTACAACATTATAGTCACTCCTCCCTTCATCTCGCTTAAAAAGTAACTGAAATGGTTTTAACATAAAAAAATATGTTCAAACAGCATGAATTTATATTAGGTATCTTATAGTCCTTGTAAGAAAATATCCTTTGTTTTCCTCAGTTTCTTATTCTAAATGTAGCTTTATTGAATTGAGAATACAATAGACAAAAGATAAAAATAAGAATAATCTAATAATTATTTCCATGAATGTATTAATTACAGTTTATTTGTATTTTAAGTCATGCTACTAATGCCAACAACCACAGATCATATAAAAACTTATTGGTGTCTGAACAGAAATCTTGTGTGAAATGGCGCCATCTTGTGGTAATTAGTAGGGATAAGTTTTTATGAGTACCTTATGCTGCGCTATACGTCAGATTCCTGCGTTTGTATTTACTCTCTGTGTTTTTTGTTTTATGTAAAATAAATTACATTCGAAAAGAAAAACGAAGAAAATCTGGTGGTTTGAAGCAAAAATAATAATCATTAACCATTGTGGGTAAGTCGTGTTGGAGGTGGAGCTTCGCTTTAGTCAAAGCACTGTTATAGTGTGAGCTCCACCGGTCGCCTGATGAGGGGGAAAAAAAGAGAACAAGCCCCGCCAGTTAAAGGAAGTGTGATTAGAACATAACGGCGCAGTGACGCCTGTTTTACAGACGGACTGATTGTGCAGGATGCCGCCGCAGCGAGTGTTACCTCTGCCGAGACAGCAATCTCTGCTCCTACCTCCGGTCATCAATCCGTTCGTTCAAGACACAAAATTAACCCAAACTGCTGTCATTAAAGTGAGTATATGGTGGTTGCTCGAGTGCTCTTATTAAAACAGGCGTTGAAGTTGTAGTTGTTGCTTTTGGCAACGCAGCGCTTAAGTTGTTGATGCATGAAATCACACACAGACACACGGGCTAATAACCCGGGCCTGTAATCGCCTTTTACAATCTGCTGCAGAAGCACCAACAATGATGGTGATTGTTCAGGAGAACTATAAATGAGTTTATGCGGTGGAGGATTTTTTTCCCCCTTGTGTTATTTTGGCTTCCTATGTTTATGATTCTCATCTCTCCTTGCAGTGTTTCCTGTTGGGAATCTTTCTGGTGCCTATTCGGGTCATCCTGATGTCTCTGGTTCTGATGGTGACTTGGCCAGTAGCTTTCATGATCACCTTCAATCAACCTCTGAAAGGAGCAGTGGAGCCAATGTCAGGCTGGAGACGGTAACTATGGATACAGCATCCCATCCCACTTCAGTTTAGCCTCCATCTGAGCTGCACCTGCCTTGAGGAACTCCAAACCATTATACTCTTCCATATTTCAGAATTAGTCATTTAAAATACATAAATGAGAAACTGGAATGACTAAAAAAGAGCTCAGAGAAGTTCCTGGCTGGGGGAAAAAAAATGGTTACATAATTTCCTGCTAGCATGGCCTAGTATAATAATATTTCAAAAAGTTAACATTAACATAATTATTATAAACTGTTTATAGCAGTTATTAAATTCTTCCACCAAGAATAAACTCACATGAATTAAAGTCATTCGTATGAGTTTTTAAGTGCTTATTACTTGCTTTACATTTTGTAAGATTGTATATATTTAGCAACAATTGCCAGCAAACTTCAGTAATATAGACATATAGATTTTTAATTTTACATTGTCAAAGTTTCTGTAATATGCTGTTAAATTAGGTTACAAAGTAATCTGTGCAATTTTAGCAACAAAAATCTAATATTTTGATTTTATTGATTTTACTTAGAAAGAAAGTGGTGACAGTGGAAAGGAAGAACCCTGTTCTAACTTAGTACATGAAAATATTTTCTTACTGTAGGTAGTAAAATAAAATAGTGCTGGGATCTGTTCTGCTTTGTTAGGGCCCTATAAAATGAAACAAGCTTTTATTAACCAGAAAGTATTTTTTTCTGTGAGTTAACCTTCAGCTGTGACACATTAAAACAAGCAGTGGAACATCCTGGAAGTAAAGATCAGCCTGGGATCAGCTGTTTTTCACACTGAGCTATAGGAGCTCATCAAAGCAGCCTGGGTTTCTTGATGAAAACAAATAAAACTAATTAAGTCAGTCTGATTTTACTTAGAAAGTAGTGACAGTGGAAAGGAAAAACACTGTTCTAACTTAGTGATACCCCTGACAGTACCACTGATTATAAGACTGCTGTGGATGTAGAATCAACTGGAATTAGGATGGACCAGACACACAAGAAAACAACAGAACAGAACACAGAAGCTCTGGTACAGGAGTATTTTCTTTGTTAAAGAACAAAGTAAATAGAGCTAATACCAGAAGTGGTTCGATTAGCGGCTTCATCGAAATTCACATTATAGAGTACCACAAATGAAAGCGCTTCCTGTAACCCCGTTTAATAATTAGGTTATCAGTTTAGGAAGCTAGTCAGAAGTCAGCTGTTTTACAGACAAGCCACCTGTTCGTTAACAAATGTTTGATGGTGCTCTCTTTGTTTTTTGTCTTTGACTACATTGATTTTTTTAACTGCTGAAAATATGTACAGATATTAAATTTTGTTTTTGTTAGAAACAAAGAAGTAGAGCCGACGTTTTTCAGACATCTGACCAACAGTGCACATTAACATGAGCAAGATGTGCCACACTGCGTTACTGTTTTCCATTCTGCAGAAAGAAAAGCCTTAATCTAGCTGGCATTTTCCCCTTGGATTAAACTGAGATTAAACAGCATGAACCATATGACATAAGTGCTTGGCGGTTTTGAAACTCTAACCTCCTAAATCCTTGGTGTACTATACCACAGACTTACTATGAAGTATTAAATATTAGCAATAGCAACTGTATGACTGAAAATTGAATATAGTCCATACAGACATGCAACCTGATGTAATCCTATTTATTTGTTTCACAACAGTTTGGTGTGGGCCATCATTTGTTTATGCAAATTCCCCACCTCATGCCCTACAGGTAAACAGTTGGATCCAAATGTTTCCACTTCTTTTCTACCCTTCATGTGTAAAAACATTGTAAAGATTTGAGTTAAATAGATTAACACAAACCTGCTGAGCTTGAAACATTTTTAGAATGTGTATAATAAGCTGGCTTAAAAAAAAACGTATTCTGAGTATTTTTACATACAATTTCTCATCATGCTTATGAACACTTTACATATGCGAGTCATTCTAGAGCAAGGAGAAGTAGATTTTGTCATTTATAGAATGGAAACAGTAGAAGTCTAAAGTTTTTCAAATAATAGCGACTGAATTAACTTACAAATTTGGTGCATGCTTTACTGCTGATCAAGATCAAGATCATATCTGCCCCACATGCATCACCTCAGCTTCCTACAGCTCTTAGATAGGAAATAGTGAGTATTATTTCAGGGTTCTTAAGGGGAACTAAAAAGGAAATGCTGCTTTTACTTATTTTTCAAGACTTTACATATATAGAAACACAGGATGCTTTTAGTACATCATTACTTGAACTTGTCTTTCTGTGTGTAATTATCAGTTGGATTGTTTTACCTAGTTGTACCAGTTAAGAAAAAGACTGCAAAAGTTGAAGCCTCACACTGATCATGTGACCACTGTGTGTTAAAGACACAGCGCAGGCATGCAGTAATTAAATAGACTATACGCCACGTAAAAAGGAAAGGTGTGTATACAGATAGGGCATTAAATCAACCAAATAACTTCTCACTATTTATTTTTTTGTCAAATCATCATGATTCATCATGCAAGGGCTAGATCAAAGCTTTTTTAGTCTGTGATGATATCTGGCTCTAAGATGCTTGCATATTTTTACATTTTGTCGACTTTCACTATATTTAGTCGTCGATCCAACTTATTCATTACATAGATGCTTGATTAGTTTGAGTTGTGGGGGATTTAGGGCCAAATAAACACCTACAAATCTTTGTTAAGCTCCTAAAATAATCTCCCAAGTTTTTACTTTGGAACAGAGGACATATCCTGCTGAAAGATAATTAAGATAAGTTACATTCAGATTATTTAAGGTATGTAGCAGCACTTCACAACAAATACCATCTCAAATGAATTTACTGTAAAAAAAAAAAAAAAAATTAACTTTAATATAATATAGTGATCCTGACAGATCCAAAACTGATCCTAGCAATGAAAAAAAAAGCTGTTTAGTTCTTTGGATTCTTTAAATTGGTCAAAAAGGTTTTCCATTCAAGTAAACCTACCCGATTACATCAGATCACTGACTTATACCATGAACTCTTAGAGGAGCATGTTGTCATTTGTATTGTGTAAGATGCAGCAATTCCTCATACCTCATGTAGCAACATGCATGCTCTAAACGGGAAGAAACCTCCAGCAATACCTGGGTCAATGGTACATTGACCAACCCGAAACTTGAGAGAACATATTATTTAGAGAAAAAAAGAAATGCAGATTAAACAGATTATGAAGAAACCAAGTTTCTGACCTCTGACCTGCAGTTTTGCAGCCCGTATTCAACTAACCAATGCTAACCTTTGGATCCTGCTACCAATTTATTAGTTGTACTTTCTTCAGACAGCAGGCGTCCATCTTCCCTATCCACACCCATTAGCCATTGCCTTTCATGAACCTGTCCCATGTTCATCACTGTGTCTTTCTTGAACCGCTCTTAATAGGACCTGACTGAGATCATCCTTTAAAGGCTGTGGGTTTTTAGATCCTCTGTCTCATCTCACTGCAACTACTCAGCCACTGTCTGACTGCCTCAAAATCTTACTGTAGCTGTTTTTTTCTGACTGTGTTACATCAGCCTTTAGGTCTGAATGTTCACTTGCTACTCAATGTGTCCTGTCAATTGAGCGATTCTATGATGAAACAGATCAGTGTTGTTCACTTCCCCCATGGTTACTGGTTGTGCCTTATCAACGTTGATGTGGAAACCCTTTGGTGTTATAATACAGCAAAGTAATCTGAAACCTTTACATAACAAAAGTGCATATCAGTTACGAGGGTTGAGATTTTTTTTTTCTAACCAGCGCTCCATTGTTTTAAGCTTCCTGCACAAATATTAAAGCTTTAATATCCATATATTAGAAAAAAATGCACAGATCCAATTATTGTTTTGCTCAAGTGTTTCAGTTTGAGCTTTCACCTCCTAACTTTGCTCGTCTGATATGGGCTATCTTTTTTAACTCAGCTGTTTCTTGATTCCATTAATTGTAGATTTATTATAAAAAAATAAATAAAAACAATCTTTTAACACACATTTATGCTTTTTACAGGTTCATGTGTAAAAGAGTGATGGCCGCCTTGGGGAGGGCCTATTACTTCTCGATGGGTTTCAGAGTCGTGGTAAAGGGGAAACAAGCAAGCAACATCGAGGCCCCCATTCTGGCTGTGGCCCCCCACTCCACCTTTTACGATGGGATTGCGTGCGTTGTATCTGGCCTGCCCTCCACAGTCTCTCGGGTTGAGAACCTGGCTATGCCCATCTTTGGCAGTAAGACATTTCTCAACCATGCCTTTGTTTGACAAAAAAAAAAAAGATTTTTTTTTTAAGCAAGAGTGCTTGAGGGCTTGAAATTTATGTGTGAACTTGGGAAGTTACATAAGTGTGAAACTATTTTAGGTTTGTGTGTTTTTTCTTTTCGCACTTCATCTGACATCATAATTTCACACTGTCTTTTTACATTCCTCTAATTGCAAGAGGCATGTATGATACTGTATGTGGGGTCAATTCTACATACAGGATTCTTCTCCTCATCAATAAAGACACAACTGATGCGTTGTTGCTGATGTTTTACCGTCTCTGCAGGGTTTGTCCGCTGTCTCCAACCAGTGCTGGTCTCTAGAAAGGACCCAGACTCCAGGAAGAACACAATACTGGCCATCGAAAGTAGAGCTAAGTCTGAGGGCCGATGGCCGCAGGTTTGGGAACACACTTCAAAAACAGACACTACATGAGTTTTCATGTTTCATATTAAATCTAGCTATAAAAACAACACTTCTACGCTTTTTAAGTTGACTTTGCATTAAGCATTTTTTGGGGTTTGATGCAATGTTTTCATTTTAAATGTGTTTAAATGAGCTTTAAGTGGAAAATTATTATAGTTAATAGAAAAAAGACTTGAAAACATCCCTCTGCTTATTATTAATCTATATATTGTGTCCCCTACGTAAACTGAGTTACTGAAATGAATAAACTTTTGAATATTTGAACTTATTTACTGTGACTGTGTAGCAATTAAATGCTCATGGTAGACAGCTATTACAAAATTGTGTCTTCAACTCTAGGTGCTAATATTTCCAGAGGGAACATGTACAAATCGCTCATGCCTCATCACTTTTAAACAAGGTAGGTTTTAAAATACCTGTGAATTTAGTAGGCTAATATTAGTAGGATGTTTTATAGATTAAATCACAATTTTAATAAGGCATTTTCCTTTTTCTTAGGTTACTTTGGTCTGATGTTTAAATCTGTTCAAATCTTTGAAGCCAAAAATGTGACAAATGAGCTACTTTCGACAGTGAAAATATTGCACATTTAAAGCTTTGCATGGGTGGCCTAATATATGGAAAATGTAAACAAGGTTTTAAATGTTCAGCTTTTTCAGCTCTGGTTTAGAACTGGTTGCATCCTAACATTCCTGTCAGTCCACTATTTTAATGACTGATCTAGAATTTGCTTAGATGTTACTGATTACATTAAGTAAAACACCGAAACAGAGAATAGATCGAAGAAAAATGCAGAGCAGATACCTCACTTCCTGTTCATTTTTTTTTGTTTCTTTGTGCTTCTGTTTTAGATGTGAAGCCTAGTAAAAGGGAGACCAAACCAAAAACCTCTTCCTGTTGTTCTCTTTGATAAATATTGAATTTATGTTCTTATGTGGTTTTAGTGTCACGAATATCTTATCTCCTCATGCTCTATGTCAGTGTTTCCCAGGGGTACCCCTAATGGTCGACCAGGGTATTGCAAGGGATACAGGAAAATATTTTCTTACTGTAGGTAGTAAAATAAAATAGTACTGGGATCTGTTCTGCTTCATTAGGACCCTATAAAATTAAACAAGTTTTTATTAACCAGAAAGTATGTTTTTCTGTGAGTTTACCTTCAGCTGTGACACATCAAAACAAGCAAAGGAACATCCTGGAAGTAAAGAACAGCCTAGGATTAGTTTAAATGTATTTATACATACTGGACTTACTCAGAGGAAGTCCAGTTTTATAAATACGGGTTTATATTATGATTTTAATTTGTATTTATTTTGATTCCTTACTAATTCCCAGCCAACATATTTTTGTTGGTTTTTTTTTTATTTGAGATGGAAAGAATACAATGATAAGAATTAAATGCTCAAATTAAAAGATTAAGTAAAGTAGTCTTTATTTTCTAATCAGTTATTGTATGTTCCATTTTTCTACAATCATTAATACTTTTGACTGAGAGGGGTTCTCATCGTACAGTAAGACAAAATGCCCAAAGGGGTACACAAGTCATAAAAGGTTGGGAAACACTGTTCTAGGGTATGAGTTATGTCTAAACAAGGGTTCCATTTCATGAAGCAGGTTGAACAAATTTAGATTCAAATCCGCAACTCTTGCTTGTTGCTTACTGCTATTAATTAGTTTAATCAAATTTAACTACTGGTAGGTCCACTCAGAATTAAGCTCGTGTGCAAGAAGTATGAAAAGCCATTATCAATGGAGCACCGATTTGACGAGTCACCAAGACAACAGGCAACAGGAAGTTTCTATTTTACCCCTCTGGAGATTTTAATGCAGAAAAGCAAAAAAAAAAAAAAAAATGAAATAAAACAAAAAATTGTTAAAAGACAGAGAAACAGTGCTACAGCTATTAAGGAGAGGAGGGTGGCGAAGGAGAAGATTGTTGCTCGAGTTAATGCATAAAATTATCAGAAGTGGACTACTGCAGGCCGTTTTTTTATATCTTTTAAAAGCACTTCTCTATGTTGTTCAATTTGTAGATCACTAAAAAAAGATTCTTCCTGACTAAAATCACACTCCTAGGCCTACCTGTAATAATACATTTTCTAAATAAAATTTTTATAGCAGAAACTGAATTTTAGAGAGTAAAAAAAACAAAATGAAACTAGCAAAAATTAAGTTTCATATATCTAGAAATGTTTACACATTTTTAGTGGCCGTTCTGACATTTATCAGCTTGACTGAATATGTATTTATGATATCTGAAAAACATTTCTTTATAGTTACAATATTGCAAATGCTGACCAGTAATATTAGGAGTATGGAGATCTGAAATTAATTTCTAGAAATCCAGAATGTTTATTCTAGATGTGGTCACAGGTGTCAAGTAACGAAGTACAAATACTTCGTTACTGTACTTAAGTACACTTTTTAGGTATCTATACTTTACTCCATTACTTATTTTTCCTCCTACTTTTGACTTCTACTCATTACATTTTCACACAAGTATCTGTACTTTCTATTCCTTACATTTTTAAAACAAACGTTACTCGTTACTCTTGGCTTCGGTTTAAAGCACAGGTCACAGATTAGCGGACTGCGATGTTATGAACAACATTAAATCCAAAGATTTTGTCCGAGGTAAAGCTGATTTATTTGTTGTAGTCTCTTGTTATTCACACACAACAATAAACAGTGATTAGCCGACGTGGGTTTTAAAACTGCAAAGCTTTGTCTTCAGCTGAAAATCGAACGCGCATCTACACAGACCAGTGTGATGCATTCGCGAGCGTCAGATAGCTATGGTGCATTCAGGAGCATGGGACATTTCAGACTTACAAGGAAAGAGACAAAAACAGAACAGAACTCATAAAATGATGTATTTATTCAGAAACAGTGTGGGCTTTCTTATAATACTGAATGCTCTATAATTGTGTTTCTGTTATTTTTTTCTAAAAAATCTATAATATTACAGCAGCAAATTATCAAAGTTTTTCAAAAGCCTGTTTAAAAGCTCCAAATGAGGCTTCAGATCATACAGCGACAATTGCACTGTCATTGTTTTACAGGCAGAATTTGCATTTGCTGAATCTTGTCTTTTAACTAGTGATGGATATACAGGAATACAGTCATACTAGTGTCAACTCCTCTCAGATAGAACAGGATGCAATATTTGGCAATTTCTATTTTTATTTTTTCATCTTTTTTTTTTTTTATTCAGTGTAACATGAATGCATAAATACGTCATTTTATTTCAGTGTTAAACTCTGTTTAAAGTAACAGATCATTAAAAATGTCTCCTGACATTTACTGGTTGATTTTCTTTATTCGGACCCCATTGATTTTTTATTAGTTACCCGTGGTTTAATGTTTCTAAATATATATTTCACGTCATGTGTGCCATCCAATGCAGATCATCGGTGCCATCCACATCTAGTGAAAACTAGTGTAATTGGATGAGTCGTATAACGCAAACACTCATTGGTTAGTTAAAGGAAATCATCAGAAGCAAGCAGGTGTTCTTCAAACTGTAAACGACAATTGTCTATGCCATGCCACAATGTTGGATTCAGAAAAACATTTCTAAATGTCTGAAAGGTCGGACACAAGTGAGAGCGTATCGGGAGATGGAGACCAACAAGACCTTCCTCATCCTTGGCCCTATCTCAAAGAATTTTTTGAAATAGTCGAAAAATTACTTTACTTTATACTTTTATACTTTAAGTAGTTTTTGGAGCACATACTTTTTCACTTTTACTTGAGTACCGTAATAAGGTCAAGTTGATACTTCTACTTTTACCAGAGTGTTTTTAAGCTGCAGTATCTATACTTCTACTTAAGTAACAAATGTGTGAACTTTTGACACCACTGGATGTGGTGAATGTTATTATTTTTTTTTTTTTAAATAGTCATTTAGACTAAGAAAAAAAATATATATTTTTTCAGATATCAGGAATACATATCAAAACGGCTGTTGGTACCATGAACATATTGCAGGATTATTGCTTGAATGGCAGTAATTCAATGTATCTATTTAGCTGAAACCTTTTGGCAGCAGGTTAAAATTAAGCCTAAAAACGTTGTTCTAATATATAGTGGATCTGTGGATCATCTCATGCATCCCTCCATATGTTAATTCAGACTTCTTTTACACAGTAAAGTGGCTATATGCAGTCATGCTTCGAATGTTATCATTCCAATAAATGGCCATTATAAGCTGCTATCAGTCCCATAGAATGGCTTCAGATTGTGCCTGCATGCTCATGAGGTTGTTATCAGCGAGTGAATCCAAATCCGAAAGTAATTCCTTTTCCCCCTATATATGTGTAATCTGAAAATAATTTCAGTAGTTCTTGTACTGTAAATATAACAAAATAAAATGATCCGCATCTCTCTCATATTAAACAAACCAAAAACACGTAATCTCCCTGTCAACTGAGTTGTAGAATCCTCTCGCTATAAATATCTCTGTGAAAAAGTTCTTTAATAAGATCCTTGTTAAACTGTCATGCAGTGTTTGTTTTTAAAACCTGATGTGTGGAACGGACCTAGTGAATTATATTTATATGTTTTTTGTGCACAAAAATCTGACTAAATCAGGAAATAAAACAGCGTGATAGGCTATAAAAGAGAGTGGAGACAGCAGACACCGAAGAAAACCTGCTACCGACCATGTTAGCTCTGGGAGAATGTTACTACGGTGACTGAAACAGAAGGTGAGGAAACTCTCTTTGTGAAAAGAAAATTCAGAGTTTCCCTGTTTTCAGGTTTAGAGAACTTAGAGTTTTCGGTAAACCTGCTTCTTGAAACGGACCTATTTGTCATTCTTTTATAATGACCATCTTATCCTATTTGTAGGTGCCTTTATCCCAGGGGTCCCTGTGCAGCCTGTTCTTATTCGATATCCAAATAAACTGGTAGGTATGGATAATTGCTTTATATTAACTAATGTTTTCAACCATTTGTTATAATGATGAACAAAATGGCAGTGATACAATATCTTTCGGCAAATTTGCAGCTATAGTTTGCAGTGCTGGACGCTTATATTTTGAGAAAACCGGTGCAAATATCTTCAGTAGAGTAGCTGAAAGATAACCTTGTAATAATGAACTTGATTTGGTGAAGTCATGCTTTAAAGAGGCATTTCAGTATATTGGAGGATCATGAAAATTTGACACTCATGTTGCATAGAGGGATGTAGTCCTAGCAGTTTGTTAATTTGAATCAACTTTTCTTATAGTAGGAAGCCCAGATCCATCCATCCATTATCTGACATGCTTGTCCCGAGGGTGCTGGTGCCTATCTCCAGCAGTCATTGGGCAAGAGGCAGGGTACACCCTGGACAGGTCACTAGTCCATCGCAGGGCAACACAGAGACACACAGAACAAACAACCATTCACCATTCACTCACACCTAAGGACAATTTAGATGTTTTTTTACATGTTTTCGGACTGTGGGAGGAAGTTGGAGTACCCGGAGAGAACCCATGCATGCTCAGGGAGAACATGCAAACTCCATGCAGAAAGACCCCGGGCCGGGAATCAAACCCAGAACCTTGTTGCTGCAAGACAGCAGTGCTACCCACTGCGCCACTGAGCAGCCAGGAAGCCCAGATCCGTTTTCTTAAAACATAGTGTTACTTTAGACAAATGAAATAATTTTAACACCAAACATTTTTATCAGTTAACATCAGGTAGATTTACAGTATTTACAATCGCTTCTTGGTCCAGGGCACTTTCTGCATTGTTTACTCCTTCAGTGCGGTGGGCATGGCATGAAGGCAATTATCCTGTGTACTAGAGACTGACATTTTTTCGGGAATCCCACGGGTCACGGGATTCCCGTGGGATGAGAGTCAGTATTAGTAACGATCACGTGATTGGGACGGTACAGGATTAAACATTAACGGGAGCAGACGGGAGCGGGAGCAAACCAATAGTAACTAAAAAAAACTAGGATCGATGCCAAAAAATAACATAAAATAGAAAGAAAAAAAATCCAGTACTGGAGCCGCCATTTTGTAGTTTTTTTCCTTGAGGCCTACACTATAATGCGAGTCAAAAAAACTACACGACCCAAAAGCCAACAGTGCTTCCGCTCTGAGTTTTTCACCCGCGCTCAAAAACAACAAGAATGGGAGTGGTGCAGGAGCGGGAGTCATTCTGAATGGGAGTGGGATGGGGGTGGGAGTAATTTCACCAGGAGTGGGACGGGACAGGATTTAGATTTCTACTCTGGCCCGGGATCGGGACGGGACACAATTTTTTTCTGTGGGAGTGGGACGGGACAGGAGTGAAAATCCACTCCTGTGTCAGTCTCTACTGTGTACTAGCTGAAGTCTTAACAATTGTATTGGCCCCATGAGAGTATGCTTTGTAAAGTATTGTTTCTTTTAAAACTGCGTGCTTTGTTCACTCAGATTATCTTGGTAGGATATTAAAATACTTGAAAAATCTAAAACATGTAAATGAAAAAAAAAAGTAAATCTAAAACTTTCTTACCTGAAACGACTTTATGTGTCTAAACAAAATACCTGTGCAGTTGCATAGGCATAACATGGATTCTCCTTATTTTAGCTGAATACTATAGCTGCTAGGTTGTTTATTTAATTTTATATCAGTTCTGTTTTGTAGGCAAATTAGACTTTGCTTTATGCTATGTTTGCTTTTTAGGATACAGTGACCTGGACTTGGCAAGGTTTCGGCTCGTAAGTATGATTCATCTCATATTTAACTGATACTATTTATATTGTAGGTTAAAAATAAGCTTTACTTCCTTACAAAAAGTCATGCTAACCCTACATGAAATCTATGCTCATGTTTTATAAGACTATTTTGAGATGAATAACTTGCAGCAGTTTTTAATATTGCAACTGCATAATATTTAATAATATAACTGTAAATGAACATGCTCTGGACTGTTCTCCTTGTAAAATGAATAGGAAGAAGCTGCTGCTGCTAACATTGTGCCAGCTCTACACCACAGTGGAGGTTGAGGTAACAGCTTGTCATGTTACTGTATGTGCTTGCCTTTCTGCTTTACCTTCCTTATGACTCTTTTCTCCTTTTTGTGCTGCTTTTAAGTTCCTGCCACCCCACATTCCCGCAGAGGAGGAGAAGAAAAGCCCTGCTCTGTTTGCCAGCAGAGTGAGAGACACTATGGCCAAGTGCGTGCTCATTGTAAATATGGCTGTTACCTTAAGACTCATGGAATTCATTTTTCTGGCATTGAAAGCTTTGATATAAAACACTTACCTTGTTTTAAATCGCCCTTTTAATTTTTTTTTTTTTACTTAATGAAGAGGGACTTATATAAAAAACAAACTAAGATGATATATTCATGTAATTGGGAAGGAAAATTAAGAAACACATCCCATCAGAGATTTCTACATATCAGAATGCTCTTTCCATAGTATTAAGGCTAACTGGTAACCCTTTTACTTTTAGGGTTTTGGGTGTTCCAGTAACAGACCACACTTATGAAGACTGTCGCCTCATGATCTCAGCTGGAGAACTAACCCTCCCCATGGAGGCTGGTCTGGTGGAATTCACCAAGATTAGTCGCAAACTCAAGTAAGACAATCTGAATCACATGTTTAAATGTATGTTTTTTTTCTGCTCCATTTTGTTATATCTTGAAATTATTCTAAACCAATTGTATTGCTTTGCTTTCATAGTCTAAAATGGGACAGTGTGAAAAAAGAACTTGAGGGTTTTGCAGCCATGGCCTCCTCCTCCAAGGGAGGACGCATCACCATTGCGGAGTTCGCCAAGATCCTGAAACTGCCTGTCAACCCTGTTCTTGAGGAGCTGTTTGCGTTATTTGACAGGGTGAGGACTGTTGTTCTGTTAGTTTCAATATCCCACGATGCAGCTTTGAATACTCTAGCACAATAAGAAAAAAAAAGCGTCCATGCATTATGTTAAATTTAGACATGGGACATGTTCCAGCATCTAAGTAGACCAAATTTGTTTAAAATTTACCTATTATTTCCGCAAAGCTGTTAATCTGTCATGAAATAGTTTTTAGGAGCTATGTGTCGGTTTGTCCAGTCCAGTGCAGCTCTGTAATTCTCCCTCACCTGTTTCGGTATAATATCTGTTGTTTGGACAGTTTTTCCTACTCTAATCAGAAAGGCAAATGTTTCCAATTCAATTTAAGTCTTTCTCACAATGCCATGGTTACCTGAATATGATATAATTTGGGTCTGAGCTATTAGTACCAGCTACTAGCTGTTTCACAGCTTTTTGCATTTATTCATGTCACTTTTAAAGTGACAAAAGAAGTAGTTGTTCTCCGCCCTGTTGTTTTGACCAACCGTACACTAAAGTGGCCCGACTAAATAGCATTGGGGAAGCACCGTCAACTTAACTAAATCGTTTTTTTTGTAGCATGGCCAATGTTAACAATTTATTAGCTACTATTAATCGTAGAAATACTCCCTTTAGATGCGGTATTTCGTTGACACAGTTATCCATACCTTTTTTTTTCAAACAAAAGGATGAAAAAAATGAGCAGTGTTATATTAGTTTTGAAACATTTTTGAGCAAAAGCACACAAAAAAATTACAAGTATAAAATGAATAAGTATTTTAAAATGAATATAACAATAGAAACACAACATAAATAGCTTTATATATAAACCAAAGGCTAAACGTAATATTTTAAATAAAATGTATCTTTTATAACTAGAAGAGAAGGAATATTATTATTGACAACGAAGAAAGTGTTTATAAACACTTTGCTTAAAACTAAAATCATGTACTCCGTAAAATAGTTTTAAATATTCATAATTTTAACTGATCTAAGCATCAAATATAAATATTATATTATTTAATTGAACCATAAGATAAGATGAGTAAAGGCTGTGTGTAAATCAGTTATAATCTATAAAAGAGTAACAGTTTAAGAGAAAAAAGCCCATTAAATCAGGGATTGTGTTTACATTATATTTACATCCCGCTTGGTAATCTAGGTTGGAATTAGTGAAAGCTTTGCTCATGAGTGACTCATTTTCAATGGAGAGACAGATGTCGATCTTGTCTCTCCTCTCAATGCAGGCAGAGTTTGCCTATTAAAGTAGGAAGGTGCTCACAGCTGCACTCGCTGCTCACTGAAGACAGTAAGCTCAGAGCGATCTGAGCTTTTAATTGGTGTTGCCAAAGTCTCAAACAACACAGGAAAAAGTTGCGAGTCACTCTTTTAAAAATATGTTACGTTCAGTGCTTTGCTTCCTGAAAAGTTGCTTTATAGTTGTCAAGAGTGATGTTTGAGCAAGGCGAGCAGAACGTTAGTCTCTCTTATCAGGCCCCACTGCATGTGTGCCTAATAAGGAGAAGATCTGAAATACAATTTGATTTGAGTTGGAGTCTTCCTGAAAAGTTTATTGCGACCTTAATAATACTCCCAAGTCAGGTTGATCATGCTTTGACAACATTATACTTTTTCATGTATAGTTTTGGCAAATTATTCTTATCAGAATTAAATGCAGCTATTAAGCGTCGAGTGCAAAACAAGCTACTTAAGACATTTATAATATTTAAAGTATTACATCAGCATGTCTCATGTGTAATCAAAGTTACATTTTTAAGAGTCGTTTTGAGAAGTTACAAACACTCTGATATACATTAGAATTTATATAAAAAAGTGCTTTTATATTGCAATTTTTTTTAATGATTTTATGTAATACTTATGTATCTGAAGTTCTTCCAATAAATATTTAGTTTTTAGTTGAAAACCAGAATCAAATCCTCAGATATCATGTTCAGATTTGTTTACTCTGGGTGCTGAACAAGTCTAATCTACCTTACAGAAATATTTTATGAATTCTAAATAAAGCATGAGTGATTAAGGGATTGTCAAATATGTAATACTTGCTTGCAAACTCTCTCACGCTGCAGAACGGGGATGGCACCATTGACTTTAGGGAGTATGTCATCGGTGTCAACATCTTGTGTCGACCAGCAAACACTGAAGATGTTTTAAAAATGGCTTTCCAGGTAGGATCGGAATGTCAGTCATGTATCTTTCTTTTAAAATCTGCTTTTTACCTTTGGAGACTCCTTCAATACTTGTGCTTTTTGAACTTTTTTATTCATCTGACTTATTGCATTAGATACAATGGAGTATTAGGCCCTTACTAAGACATGTTCTATTAACTGTAAGAATAAAGTCATAGAATAAATTAATGATAATACAAGAATAGTCCTAATATACAGCAATACAGTTATGATATTACCATAATAAAGCCTTAAAAGTATAGAGAATTATTTTTTATTTCCAGGTAGATCATCTAAATATGTTGTCCTCTTTTTCTGGTGATATGTTTAAATAAGGCAGTCCTACCTTTTTCTCCGCATGTTCACTTTCAGCCACATATGTGTGGTGAGCTACGGTTTCAGACAGTCATCTAAGCTCACCTTTCTCACCGCGGTTCTTAGAAGATGGCCGGGGCTTTTAGGAGAAAAAGTGTCTACGAAGTGTATAAGAAGAAAAGAAAGATATATTTTAGATATATCCCAGAATGCTTTGCGTGGAGAGCTCTCCTCGCAAAGAATTCTGGGAGTATATCCAACAGTGACATACATAACAAAGGCACGTGGAGGAGTTACATGAACAATCGAGCAAAAAGCAGTGATCATCCTTCCGAACGGTCGGTTAAATACTTTTGCTATAAAGTCCACTATATAGTCCCCACTGTAAGTGGACGCAGAAAGCTTATATGAGCTCTGAGAATAGCACATTTTAAACAGGGCGTGCATAAGGAGAAATAGACTCGTGCATGCTCTTGCACGTGGATTTATTTATTTTTTTTAGTGGACAGGGTGGGTCTCTTAAAAAAATCCTCCACAATGCCTTTAATAAAATGAGAGAAAAGTCTTGATATTATAAGAAAACATGTTGTTTTAATGAGAACAATGCTTCGATGGAGTCATTAAGATATGATGATCTCACTCTGAATTTTATAGGCTTTCGTTTTATAGACCCTTACTTAATTCTTGTAATATTATGACTTATTTATTTGCCATAAAAAAAAAAAAAACATATATTTTTTGGCCCTAATTTTCCATCTTAAGACTTTTATTTACTGCTTCTATTTTTTTACAATATTCTCCAAGTAAATAATGATGAAAACAAGCTGAAAGTAGAAATATTCTGTTCCCTGCCCTGCCATTACTGTCTGTGAACAGCAGTCAGAAGCAGCAGGAAACCAGAGACAGACAGGCATGGACAATATCAAGTTAACAGAAAGTGTCTCCTGGAGTCATTTTGCCAGACATGTGACCAGATATAATTTTGAACAAACATCTTTTTTTGCTTTTATTTACTGTAACTGAAACCTTTTTCTGCTCACATTTAATTCAAGATAAGTTAAACCTCTGTATTTTATCTCATAACATCATGGTTTTTAATTCCTTTTTGCCATGCCTGCCAAAATTTTAAAGAAAGATAAAGTACCGGTAAGCTTTTGTTTGCTTTTTCTGTTGCAGCTATTTGACACAGATGAGGATGGCAAGATCACGCTTGATGAGTTTAACGCTCTGCTGCGTTCAGCTCTGGGTGTCTCAGACCTTGACATGACCAAGCTCTTCAAGGAGATTGATGCAGATTCTTCTGGTTTCATCACCTTTAGTAAGTGGATTCTGTCAATTCTGTCAAGTCAAGTTGCATTTCAGCATTTAGATGCTCCAGATGTCTTATGTGCTTTGGCGAAGACATTGGACTGTCTTAAAAAAAAAAAAAAAAGATATATTTATCCTCACCTTTACCTCCAGGCATGCCTTTAGCTACACTGGACATTAATAGTTATTTCTTCCTCTTTTTACTTGTGTTTCTTAAGATGAATTTCATGCTTTTGCCTCGAGTCATCCTGAGTATGCCAAACTCTTCACGACTTACCTGGAGCTTCAGAGATACCAAGCGATTCAAGAGGCGATGCCGGGAGATCTGGAATTAACCGGGCAGATCCAATCAGGGGAAACAAGAGAAGACAGCCAATCTGACAAAAAAGATGACTGATACTACTGTAAACTTTACTTAATTGCACTGGCATAAAAAAAAACATATACACGGCTACCACATGCCAACATGTTGCCTTTCGAGTAGAAAATGAAAGCGCTTGGTTTATTTTAAGTGCTTTTATTTATTTTTTTTAAATAGTGCCTTATAGAGTTTAAATAAAGTCCTCAAATGCAGAGTGATAGGATAAATGGTGTGAAATAAAAAATGTGTCTATTAGAAATAATTTATATCCAGGAGCAATTAGTCAGTCCTACTGTGTTATATACTTGAATCTTGTTTTTAAGCTTGTTTTCTTAGCCTCATTCTTTCTTGCACTGTTACCTTGTCGTTTGTTTTTGTGGTTTGTATTTACATAAGAAAAAAAATGCCTAACAAACACATCTTTAATTATGAGAAAAGAGTCCCATTGCTGCTTTGTTGCTTTATAATTATTGTTTAGTAAGCTGTCGTAAGAGCTTTTCCAGCCTGTAGAGCCATTCTTACATTCTGTACTAAAGCTATGTTTACAATAAGCATAGATGCTGCGCCTTACACTTTTTTACAGCGCTAAGGGACAAAAACATAGTAAGATGCCCGTGTAATTAGCCTGAAGTTTGCTCTGCAATAGGGCAATTTGTGAGCAAAAAGCTAACAGTGCTTCTTCTCAGCAGCATATTCCTGTGGGGTATAAAGCTTTGAGTCTAACAAGCCACATTGTTTTTTAGTTAGCAGAGCGGTTTGCAAATCATGTAAACTCCTTTTTTTTTTTGGAATATTGCACACGTTGCCTTTTTAAGATTAAATGAGAACAGAATGGTAGTGCATTCTTTGTCTTCTTTATTACTGTTTGTGGTATTCTTTCACTGAGAAATGTATAATTACTGGTTCAACGGGCCACAGGTGTGATGATGTTTCTCTAAAACTACCACAAGGTGCCAGTAGTTAGCTGTTCTTGGTGAAGTGTATCAATCCAACTCTGGAGTTTTAATAATGTTTATTGTGAGTTTATTGGATTTAATCTGATGTTTAATGTTCTTGTAAAATAAGAATTAAGGTCTGCATTTCTGGTGTTTTCCTGATTAATCACAATTAGAATCTTCTTTGTGTAAATAGATGTATTTGGGTGGACAATAAATATATTTCTAATAAACTAACCTCTGTCGACAGGAATTGACAAAACAAATAAAAATATATATATATTTTAATATTTCTATAAATGTATTTAGATACAGATTATTTGATAAACTAAGAATTTGATAAATTAAAGAAAATGAAAATTAGTTACATATGTAATATGTTAACATGGATGACTTTTTTTTTTTTGCTTTTACGAGGAAGCAGGGATGTTTAAAACAATTAAACAATGAGCAACCAGAATCTTAAATTCCTGGTATTATTTTTAAATTATTTGTAAACTGCTGCTATAGCTGCTGCTGTAGAAATATTAAATTAAATCATATTTGTCTTGTGACAACATCTTTCTTGTTGTTGATATATGAATATAAGTATATATATATATATATACATCTTTTTATTTGGTTTCATCCAAAGTCCAGACAATATCCTTTCAGAATGGAAATTGAATTATTGCTTATGGTGTGCTATACTTATTCAGCATCTGTATAAACCCAGTCTTGATGCCTTGATACTTTCATCTTTTAATTATTATTTTCAAATGGAACACTGCAGCCTATTTAGTTTAGCATGTGCTCATTATTATTATTATTTTTTTTGCCAGCTTGAACTAATTCTCATATTTGTTCATGGTTGAAAGCGAAATTTGAATATGCATGCCAATATTAATAGAAACATAAAAACGAGGCTGAAATAAAGAGTGAAAGACGATCTTATTAAAGACTTCCTGTTAGACTAACTGTGATTACCAGCTGTGATTCCCTTGTTCAATTTATTTTAACCTTTTCAGACGTACAGAGGCTAATTTCATTTTGATCAAAATTGATGAGATGCCATGGAATCAATTAAATTGCCTTTTGTCGCCAGCTACAACAGTTTGGATTCTTCCCCACCCACAGTGCCCGATCTCCTCTCTTTCTCCGACGCCACTCCATCCTGCCTCTTTTACAATGGTTGTATATTGCTGTATCCATTTCAGCCCTGCCCGGAGGGTGATCCTGTCGGAGTAGATTGTGGGAGATATGTGTTGGTAATTTGATTTGGTCTCCTCAGGATCTGAGTGAATGAGCAGCTTGTGTTTGTGAACACAAACACACAACTATATGGGGACACAAGTCCCCATTTGGTTGGGGGAATCACTGTGTCAACCTGTAAGAAGAAAAGGTCAGAAACAACGGCCCTGATCATTAAACTGATCTGCCACAATTTGGTGCATCAATTTCAACCAAAGCTCTCTGCCTTTTTCTGCAAAATACGTACAAGAAATGACAGTTTTATATATGACATTTAACTAAAAAGTCTGTTCAAGGCAAATTACCTAAAGGCTAGATGTATGATTGTAACTTTCTAGAAAATGTAATGCTTTACATTATTGCATAGATAAAATAAAAAGCCCTTAAACTCTTTAACATTTTGTCATGTTACTAACAGTGAGCAGACCGAGCTGATGTATTCATTTCTACTCATACTTATACAAATTTTAAAGTGCTTTATCACTAGAAACACAACATTTTAGCTAGGTATTTCTTCCCAAATAGGAATTGAACAAATAAAAGTCAACATTCATATTCAACTATGCCTCAGAAAAATAACAAAATAAACTCATGAAACAGGCCTGAACAAAAATTATGGTACCCTTTAATTGATTTTTTTTTCTTTCATAACCTTTGGAGGCTACCACTGCAATTAATTGATTCCTGTTACTGTCAATGAGACAACCTCTCAGCAGGTATTTTGTCACCCAATCTTGTCCCATTGTCTGGGGTTTGAAGGTTGCCTTTCCTGATGGAATGATTCAGCTCTTTTCAAAGATGCACAATAGGCTTTAGGCCATGGCTCAGAGATGGCCACTTCAGAATTGTCCAGTGTTTTACTCTTAGCCATTCCCTTTTAGCTGTGCATTTAGGGTCATTATCCTGTTGCAAGACCAATGACTGTGACTGAGACCAAGCTTTCTGACTGGGCAACACTGGATGGTTCGACTGTGAACAGAGAGCTGTCGTGCCTTTAAAAAACATTAAATTGTTGTCTCATCTGTCCATGGGACAATCTCGAAGATGCAGGGCAGCATAAACCCACTTCTCTCATTAAGCCCTAATAAAAGAAAGAGAAACAAACAAAACAAACGGTCAGTTTAGCTGTTTTATAAAGAATGTGAATCAGGAAATTGTCTTTAAACTAAACTCAACAATTATTGTTCTCTACATCAAAAAACACTCCAGATTTTAAATGGAAAAATGTTCAAATTTTTTTTTGAATATATCTTTATTTAAAAATTCAATGTATAACATGGATGCATACAAATCTCATTTTATGTCAGTGTTAAATTCTGTTTAAAGTAACGGATTATGATTACAAATTTTCTCCGGACCTTTACTGGCTGTTGATTTTCTTTATTCTGACCCCTCTGATTTTCAATTGGTTACCCCTGATGTAATCTAATAGGAATGAGTTGAGTTGAAGGTCATCTTTAATCTCTTTAGAAGTTTATCTGGGCTCCTCTGTTACCATTCATATAATCTATCTCTTCGATTTGTCATCTATTTTTCTTCTGCAGAGGGAAGTTGGCCATAGTCCTATCACTCTAAGATTTTTTAATACACGCAACTGCAGTCACAGGAACATCAAACTTTGTTGAGATAGTTTTATACTCTATCTTTAACATCCTTGTCTATCTTCTTTTTTTCTTTTACCCTGAGACAACTTGTTCCTTTGCTTCCTCTGGTCCATGTTGAGTGTGGTACACACCATGTTATAAAACAGAACAGTGACTACTTGCAGCCATATATATATATATATATATATATATATATATATATATATATATATATATATATATATATATATATATATATATATATATATATATATATATATATATATATATATATACACGCTGACTGACTGTATATAAGATTGTAAACAGTGATGCTGGGATTCTGATTAGTGGAAGGGGATTCCTTCATTTAAAATCCCTTTGGTCACATTATTTTCAGTCTTCTGGACATATGCCCAGGCCTTTTTCATCAGTGTATTTTTTAAATACATTCTATTCAAGCATGCTTGAAAAGCCATGTACATGTATCCATATCATTTGTTTATTTTCACAGACTTATTTGTTATTGCTTTTGTCAGATTCAAGTTATTTCTCTGTCGATTGTTAGATTCTCTTTCATCAAACGGGGGGTACCAACAATTTTGTGCATGCATGTATTCTATTCCCAAAGTCAGAACTTGGCAGGACAACCCTTTAATGGAGTTACATAGCATTTTTTTTAATCTAGAATAAAAATTTGAATCCCTTACTTTATATATTACAACACAGTGTAATATTTAGCCACAAGGAGCAATATACCTGTCATTTCCAGGTTTTAATAAAGTGCCTGATGGCAATGAAGCTGATTCAAAGCACTGCCAACCGAACCGAACCCAGCCACCACAGAACCACTCCGAATCCCGTGATTTCCTCCTTAAACAAAAGGTTAGACTCTGGTTTAGACTAATTAAAACACAGACCCATATGGAAAATGCTCTGAAACATAATGAACTTCAACTGGCTTTGAATAAGATCAAAGAAGATTTAGCTGTGGTGATTCAACCAATGAGCATTAATAAAACCACTAAGACTCTGAATGCTTCGTATTTATACTCTTTAAAGGATAAAAAATCTATCATAAAGGTAAATAAATATGGACTCGCTATGTAAAATGACTACTTCCTGACTAAACTGACGTCACGTCATCCCTCAGTGGGTCATGTGACCAAATGAGGAATTTTGTGATGATAAGGCCACATTCCCCTTTATACAATAAATCGTACATCAGTAAACCAAAAATATGCCTGCTCAGGCAATGGATCATATAATAATAGATCATGTCTTTTTTGTTTCCAAACAACAACGTCGTAGAGCGGCATTCTAGGTCAGATAACACATTGAGTGACAGATCTGAACCAGAGTTTTTCAGAGGGGTTGCCCTCATGCAACATCTGTGCCAAGTGCTGTGTATTGACCTGAAAAGCCATTCCCTATATATCTTAAAATAAGGAACTATTTAGGTCTGAATTTACAGAAATAAAGTACCTTTTTTCAAGGCCAATCTATTGAAGCAGTAACTGTATGTTTAGGGTTTTTGACAGTCTCAGATGAAACTCAGCCTCAGTCTTTTGTCTCCTGCCACAGGCTTTATTCTAAGGTTATCCGGTATTTAATTCCATCTATTGTTTTTCTATCGAGTTAACCAGTATCCCTGTTTTTGCTGGCAGGATATCCAGACAAACATCCAGAAAAAATGATGCTGCCACCATGTTATTGCATAGTGTTAATGGTGTGTTTTGTGTATTGTAGTATGCTGTGTTATTGATTTGTTTTTTTTGTTTGTTTTTTTTTGTTTTTACCTCTAATAGCTATATATAAAGTTTTTCATCTTGGTAT